ATTTCTTTAGCATATTAATTGGCAGTATGTTTACCGCTGCTCCACCATCGACAAGGACTCTATTTATCATCTGTCCTTGTATCTCGATATTCAATAATAAGGGTTTCAGGTGAAACCTCATTTCTTCAGATGGAGGATCAATAAAAGCAGCATCTCTATGAGGTACTTCACATGATGTTTGTGTAACCCATGTTACCTTTGGCTTTATGTTTTCTGAGTAGAAGTCATCTTCTCGATTGGCATCACTCTGTTCTTGGTACTCTTGATATTCACTAACATATTCTGCTGGTAGTATTGATATCACTCCGATTTGATGCTCATCCCAAGTACCCTCATTCTTATCATTGAAGAATTCTCTTACATATTGACTCTCCATCGGTGCAATATTCTCTTCAAAGTTTCTATAATTATTCCAATAAGGGATCCTTCCTCCTCTTCTCCAGGGCCTTCCTCGGAACCTCCTTTGGAATCTTGGGAATCCAGTGTTCGATCCTTCATCATATGACAATCTCTCAAAGACATCATGGCTCTGAAGTTTGCCTTTTCCTCCTCGAGAAGGATACATCTCTCTTCTGATCCATTGCCTTTGATTTCCGCTAACACCAGAACCAATAGATTTCTGTTGACTTTCCTCGATCATTGGTCGGGCCGTTTGATCCACTTTGTCATTTTCCCTTTTATTCTGACTCTCGATCTTCTTTATCTGTTCTAACCTGAAAGCTTTAACATCCGATTTATCGAACACCGCACTGCATCGTGGGCATAACGACACCTCCTCGTCTTTTTCTTTCTTCCTATTCAAAAACTCAATTAGGGAATCCCCTGATCGAGGGTAGATCTCTTTTTCGAACTCTTTCTCGAATTCACTCAAATCGAATTCCATATCTTCTTCAGACACGTCCATTCTAACATGTTTAGGATCAATGTCTTCAGCAACATCGACCATGCCTACAAAGGTAGAGTTCGTCATTCGGACATCCTCAGTCATGCCCGTTTGGGATTCGATATATCCCACTTGCACTTCGAATGGACTCGTATCCACTTTCATCGATATTTCTTCGAATTTCAGTCTTCCTTGGTCAATCGCATCTTAGATCGTATTCCTGAAATGTATGCAATTGTTAGTCCAATGTCCAAAAACATTATGGAATTTACAATATTTTCGACCATTCCTTTGTTCTGCCGAAGGCAGTTTATGATCTTCACTCAATTTAATTTGTTTGTCTTTTAATAAAACATCGAAGATTTTATCAGCTTTTGTCACATCGAAAGTATATGTTCGATTTGCCATCTTATCTTTCACTTCATTCTTTTGTAGCAGTTTACGGATATATGGGGCTCCTACTTTGAGCTCTGCTATATTTACTTTCTCATCGACAGCCTCTTCCACCTCATTCTCTCGTCGTGGGATCTGTTTCATACACATCATTTATATATGCTACTCTTTCTTTTTTCAAGGGTTTCTCAAATTTCTTATATCTTTGTTTTTCATACTCAATTTGTTCTACTCTTCTCACTTTATCAGCTAACTGAGCCATGTCATTTAATGGTAAATTGACTAACTTTTTCCTAATCGAAAATTCTAAGTCTGTAGAGGCTATTCTGACTAATTCATATTCAGGAATTTGAGTAAAGCATCTCGATTTCATTTGTCTAAATCGATTCAAATAATCATCTATGCTTTCATGATTGTATCTCTTTATATTCATCAAGTCGATGAGACTTACTTGAGTTTCTCCTCTAAAGAATTGCTCATGAAAATTTCTCTCTAACTGCAACCAATTATATATCGAATTGGGCGGTAACGAAGTGAACCAAGTAAAAGCATTCTTAGTCAAAGAACTAGGAAAATATTTCATCTTTAATTCTTCACTCATCGCTAAATCCTCGCATTCAATCTGATATCGAGTCACATGCTCGATCGTCGATTCACCAACTTCTCCAGCAAATTTAGTGAATTTGGGTACTTTATATCCTCGGGGCAATTCTGTCTCGAGAATCGCATTCGGAAAGGGAGACACAAAATATGTCTGATTGGGTGGTCTAAATTCCATCCCTTGTAAATTCATCTTTTGTCCTAACATGTTATTCTGATTGTGTATGTTTTGAAATCCTTCGTTCAAATTCCCATAAATGTCATTCCTCACGTGTTGGTACTCATTTCCCATTTGTTGATCGTTGTTTCGATTTCTCCTTAAAAGATATGGGGGATTGATATTGGCATTCTGGTTAGCATGATTTTCTACCCTTATTCGTCGAGGTACAGCCAATGCATCCCCGAGTCGTGACATTTGATCTGCTAATATCTCAAAACTAGCTGTAGTGTTTTGAACTAATGGGTTCAAGACTGTAGTCAACTGTTGGGATAACATATTCACCATCTCAAAATTGCTCTCATCCATTTGTTGTCTAAGTATCCCTAATGAGTTATTGGATATCCCAGTACCGGTATTTTCGATAGTATCAAAATTAGATCGATGATAATCCCTATCGAACGCATATCTCCCATGATCTAAGTTTCCTCTATGATCTAGATTTGGAGGTATTTGTTGCGTTCCTACATTCTGCACACTCCCTGAGTTCTGGGGAATTACTAAATTTTGAGATGTTCCTAGGTTTGGAGATGCTCCAAAATTCTGTGGCATACCTAGGGTTTGGAATGTTCCTAAGTTATATCTCGAATTTCGTTGCATCGAAGAAGTACCAACCCCATTCATGTTAAGCGAAAACCCAGGTGGTCTTATACTCATATACGGCCCAACATTTGTTGTTATAGGGTTTCCCATAGTTGGCATACTGTTTAGTGGCACTGTGCTAGATCCTACTTGGGTATTTGCTAAAGTGCCTGAATTTTGTTCATTACTCACGGGTATCGACATACTTACAACTGTCGATACTACAGGTGTATTCCCATTATGACTTTGCCCCCCAGTATTTGATGAGTGTGACCCATTTAATCCCTCACTGTTACTCTGGTTACTTGATGAATTCTGAATCATGACTCTCCCACTCCTTAATCTCATACACTCTCGAACTAACCAATTGTGTTTTTTCAACACACGTCCCCTACCTGGCGCGCCAATTTGTTTCTGGTGGAATTTCGATCGATTTCGATTCTAAATAGTGTTATGGTCCTAATCAAAATCCTCCCACGTAAGTTCTTTTTACTTAGGCTAGCAGTCTGACTTTTAATCGAAAACGTGTATGAGAATCGAAAGTTACAGCCTATCAAAATGCTATTTTTTAGTATTTTATATTTAGACTACCGAAAGCAGTAAAAGTATCGAATCGAGAAACAAAATATTAAATTGCTAGGAAATGTAAAGTGCAAAAACCCAAAATTTGCATTTAATTGTAAATGACAAGAAATCGAAAACAACGTAAATATAAATGACAAGAAATCGAAAACAGCGTAAATATAAATGGCAAGAAATCGAGATTGCAAGAAAAGTAAATGACAGGGAAACTTAAATGCAGAAACTTAAACTTTCATTGAATTGAAATGACTAAGAATCGAAAATACATAATCATAAAATTGCTGAAACATAAATTGCATCAAAGTAAATTACCAAGGAAAATACAGAAAGCGATAAAGGTACTCCGTGAGCATAGAAATCCAGATTGCCAGGAGCTTCATGTTGTTCGTCGTTTCTCTGGTAGACTTTCTCACTACTGATCCTGTTCTCTGCCAATTTTTTGCTCCCTGTTCCTTCCTCCTTTGTTCTATTTATAGGGTATCGTTCAAGCCTTCCAAGAACAGTTAACACGACTGCTACCACGTTCTACGTGCGTATGACAGTTTATCTTCTACGGTTTTCCACGTTCTCACGATCTTTGATTTCCTCCATGGTTTAGAAACTGCTCTCTATCCGTGCGTTTGACTTACTCTTCTCTTTATGGTTTGGCCACAGTTTTCGATGTCCGTGTAGGTTAGCTTTCTTCATTTTCGATTTTACACTTTCGAGAACTTCGAATTGCTTACGATTCATTTTCAACCTTAACGTCTTATCATTCTAGTTTCTTAGGTTTCGACAATAGGCATTTGACTATCGTTCCTTCGATTATCGATTGTACTTATCGATGTTATGTGTTACGTGCTTTAGACATCGAATGGTATCAGTCACGTGTTCTCTCTTTCCTTTTCCTCATTTTCGATCGCTTTTCTCGATTTTCTACTAACACTACTTTATAAAAAGAATAGAATGCATTGTTTTACAATTCTCATTGAATGATGGTTAAAGAAAAGAAAATAAATCCTCTTAGAATACAAAATAAATTTACATGAATTATGATAATCAACGTAAATTTCAGCGCTTTTGTGTCTTACTATTACTCTTAGTCTGACATAATATATCATAGCTTTAACAAAAGTAAAATATCGAAATCCAAAATATCAAACATAAAAAATCTCTTTTTATATTAGATAAATAGGTTATATATGACAATAATATTAATTTATTATTATATAATGATTTTTTAAAATTATATATATATAGTTCAAATTACACATGGAATGAGAGAAATAAAGCTTAATCCTTATCGTTAAGAGCATTTTCAAAATCAGTAAAATTGTTTTCCAAAGATGTTTATATTGGGTATCCTTACTTTTAAGAACAATTTCTTATGTTTTAATTAATGCATGAGTTGCTTTTGTTGAAGATATTTAATTATTTTTTAAAATTATATTAGATCAATAAAAAATAGGATTATGATATTTTGAGAACAGTAAGAAAAAATAATTTAAAAAACAACCTATTTTATTAATATAATAATTATAAAAAAGATTAAATAAAAATGAAAACAAGTTAAAATTATTATTATAATATTAAAAATGAGTTGTTAGTTAAAATGATATAAAATTGGGATGTCAAATTATCATTTTTCAAAAAAATACAATTAAGATAATTGTAGGGTATTTATGTAAACTTATTTTTTGATTAGGGTGTATGAGACTTTTTCCTTGGATGTTTCGAAGAAACAGAGGAGGACTTTCTCAGCAAATGTGCACTATTAAGTGCTGCAAATCCAACGCACTCATATTTTGTTGAGCAATTTGGTTAATCAAGTCACAACGTTTAGCAGATGTTCCTGGCTGGCATAACATGGGTATCTGCTTTTCTTCCTCTTCAGTGAACCGCCCTCAATATTCAGGCAAGTCTTGTACTTTTTCCAACCCTTTCTAAACTCATCCCAAAATATCACATGGGTCACTCCCCTTTTCCTCCAATTCCTATTTTCCCATCACGGGTTCGATTTGGTTCCTCCGTTTTCAGCTTCACCAAGCACTCACAACAGCGACGGGAAAAGGTTTCTTCCTCTTCCTCCCCCTGATGCCCGAACTCTGAAGTGGCCCAACTTAGTGGTGTTCAGTTTTGAGGACCTGAAATACGCCACAAGGAATTTCAAGTCTGACACATTGATCGGTGAAGGTGGTTTTGGCAGAGTTTACAAGGGATGGTTGGATGAGAACACCCTCACCCCTACCAAACCAGGCTCCGGAATTGTTGTTGCCATCAAAAGGTTGAGCAAGAAAAGCAGCCAAGGGTTTCAAGAGTGGCAGGTCACTTTAATTCCATCTCTTCCATTTACTTTTCATGCCCTATAAAACACTTCACCTTTAAATAAATTACTGTAGTAATTATATTGTATAACTTGACAACTTTAACAAAATATTTTCTTCACGTTAAAATTAGATAAACTTGTTCCGTTCTAAAGGACATACAAAACATAACTACGCAATATTTTGCCAAATTTTACCATTCTATCCTTTGTGATTTACTTTTCTATTGCATTTAATTTTATATTGAAACCTTGGACACTATCGAAGTACTTCCCATGTCATAAATCCTACTTTTGTACAACATCAGTCATTATTTAAAACGATTTTCTGTTGATGAAAAAAATGCAGTCAGAAATAAGCCTTTTAGGAAGAGTTTCTCACCCCAACCTGGTGAAGTTATTGGGATACTGCTGGGACGAAGATGAGTTTCTTCTTGTGTACGAGTTCATGCCAAACACACACTTATGGAATCATCTCTTCTTAAGTATGAATTAAGACAATCAAAACAAGTTATAGAGAAAACTCCTCCTCATTCAATTTGAGTTAATACTTTCATTTTCTTTGTTATGTTTCTGAGTAGTAGATCCTGACAAAGAACCCCTTTCTTGGAGTAACCGGTTAAAAATAGCTATTGGTGCAGCTAGGGGATTAGCTTTCTTGCATTCCTCTGAAAATCAAGTCATACACAGAGATTTCAAGTCCATAAATATACTACTCGACGCGGTCAGTTATCTTGGTACTTAATTTCTTATGTAGTTTCATAGTCTACCTGTCCCCTAATTAATTTCTTTTCGAGGTTGGGCCTATCCATTTTTAAATTTAAACCCAATAAAATGGATTGGATTTCATTTAATTGTATCAAATTTATTTGAATATCTTTTAAATTGGCTTAAACTTAGAATTCAAATTAGATATTTCTACAAAACAAGCTGCGTAGACAGATTTTCAGGTTAGTTTAGACTTTTAATAAGAGGTTTGTAACAGTCTAAACAGGTTAGACTCATGATTAGTAATAATGATATAGGTTTAATAAAGTCATTAACCCTGACTTAAATAGAGCCAAGAACATATCCATTGAGGTCCAAGAAGTCATGCCAATAATGTTCTCATCTAGTTCATGCTAAAGACCTTTCCACTGAAATAAACCAGTTGCGACCCAAACCAAAAAAGATGTGTCATTCAAGTACCAAGTGGGGATGTTTAATTTTTTTAATTTTTTTTTCCCTACAGAATTACAATGCAAAACTATCAGATTTTGGCCTGGCGAGATTGGGGCCTTCTGAGGGAAATACTCATGTATCTACCAGGATCATGGGCACATATGGTTATGCTGCTCCTGAATACATCGCAACAGGTAATATGATTGACAATTAAACTAGCTTTAAATGTATGTGTTGAGTATATTATTCACTCACTATCTCTGAAAGTAGGAGACAAATTATGAAATGAAAGTGACACATGAATTGTATTTGAACAGGGAACTTGTATGTGAAGAGTGATGTGTATGGATTTGGTGTAGTGCTTCTTGAAATACTGACAGGCATGCGGGCACTTGACCCAGAACGACCTTCAGGACAGCAGATCCTGGTTGAATGGACTAAGCCTTGTCTCTCTTCCAAGAAAAAGTTGAAAACAATTATGGATGGGAGGATAGAGGGTCAATATTCACTCGAGGCTGCATTTGAAGCAGCACAACTTACTCTAAAATGCCTACAATCTGATCCTCATCTACGTCCTTCAATGGAGGAAGTACTCGAGGAATTGGAAGCCATTCAACTTGTCCACAACCCCCAACTCTCACCATCCCCTTTCTCATAGTTGTTAGACTACAAACTCTTCTTCAATATACATACCAATATGTGCTCCATTCAATATGTCCTGGTTTTTCTTTCTTTTATATTCTTCTGCTGCTTGGAGGAGGAGAATTATTTTCACACTTTTATATTTCAAATAATTATTTTAATTATCTTCATCTTCAACTGTAATCTAGTCAACCCCATCAGAGGAGATTATGATATGTTATATGTTCCAATTTAAAAAGATTGGGACCTGGTTAACAAGTTAATTTTTTAACAAGTTCACAATTTTACTATAGAAATATATTAGGCATATGAAATAATTAGAGAAACGAGGATGAGAATGGTGTGAGGTGGGTGCTACCAATAATGTTTACTTCTTATTCGTTCCATTCAAAAAAATCGATCTGGTACCTGTCCCATCATTAATTACGTATCCGTTTAATATTTGAGAATATTCATAAATACTTATAAATACTTTTATTTGATTTTAAATAAAAGTATTTTAAATTTAATTCATAAAATATACATTTTAATAAAATTTATTATCATATTTAAATTAAATTAAATTATAAAATATTAATATAAATAAAATTATTCTTTATAAAATATTGATTCAAATAAGATATAAATTTAAAAATATAAATTTAAAAAAATATAACTTTAATTTTAAAATTTTGATAAAAATATAAATCCATAAATTTAATTTAAAATAATTCTTTAATAATTAATATTTTTCCTTAATAAATTTATTTTTTTTAAATACTAAATAAAAATATTAACGAGAAGCAAATATCTGTATGTTAGATATTATAATACTCTTATCCTCTCTATTAACAATAATTAAAATATTTATATCCATGACTTACGAATATACGTAGTTACGAATTTTTTTTCATCTCTAAAAAAACTTTATCACAATTTTCAAAGACACCCTATTTCTTAAAAACGATGTAAAAATTTTTATTTTTATTAGAGAGATGATAACTTTAAAGTTCAAAATTTAATCATATTTTATATTTAAACTCGGTGAAATCAACATTAATAACTAAATTTACAATTTAAATATTATCTGTGTTAAGTTACGAGTCTATTTGAGTGTAAAAAATAAAATCAATTTATTTTTTTATTTATTTTTACTAATTTTCAAAATTTATTATTTCAATATGAACTTTTTTACCTTAGTTAAGATAACCCATTCTATGCTACTTATTAAGTCGATGTGGCACCCCATATAAATAATATGATTTTTCTACGTCGATTAATAATTAACGTATAAAATCATATTTCACATTAGTTACGAGAAATACTTGATATAAAATGTGTTACATCTACATTGGTGGCGGGTTGTTATTAAATATTTTCTTTCTAATTTTCTTTCTTAAAAAAAATTAATTATTGCCAACGTAAATAATATGATAAAAAAAATGCTTTAGTATTTTTTTTTCGTTTTTACATTTATAACAACTATACATGTAACAGGCAACAGTGTATCTATTTATATCTTATAAGAACTATCCATGTTTCATTTTTCTTTTATTATTGTAAGTTTTGGGTTTGTTAACGTAAAATAGTTTTTATTTTTGTTTGTACATTAGTTGTTTTTATTTGGATTAATAAATAATTTATTTAAAGAAAAATGTGGTGACATCTTTTTAAAATAAGAGGAAATTTTTTATGGTCAATCACACGAATCTGACATTAAAAAAGTTCTTATTTCTGATCAGGTATTAGTATTTTTCACGCAAGGTTTTTTCTTCGTAAAGTGACCAAAACATTTATAGGAGAACATTCGAGAAAACTATTTTAAAATAGTGAGCGAAGACAATATGTTAAGTATGTTTTTTATTATTATTATATATTATAAAAATATTACAGTGCAAAGATTATGAAGTGAAGTTTTTTTTCATTGTAAAAAAAACCTTTATACATGTGTGTGAAGGGGAGGAAATGATAGTAGGAAGTGATTTTCCTTCTCATCTTTCTTTATTTTTCGTCTAAATTTCAAATAAATAATACTTTACTCGTGTAGGATATGGTGAAACAAGAGAGAGCTTAAATTAAGTGGGAAAATTTCGATAAAAATACCACACTAGGTAAAGAGAAATTTAATTCATTCAATATATGAGACTGAATTACTGATTACTCTGTGAATAAGGAATAAGAGTGGAAATCTAAATATTTGAATGACTAATTTTGAAAAAAATTTCATGTTTTGCAAAACTTGAAATTTTGTTGAAATTCTTGAAATTAAGGATGAATTATATGACAAAATTGTTGTTTTCAACTTAAATTAGACATAATTCATGTTTAATTTTGAAACTTGGAAATTTGAAATATGGAGGTTGGACATGGTGTACTTGGAATCGGAGGTTGAAGATGAGGGAAAATTGGGAATTTAAAAAAAAATCAAAGGTAAAATAATCATTTTCATCCTAGGGACATAAATAGAATTTTCGAAAATGTTCAAGGGTAAAATAGTCATTTTAGGAACATGGAAGGAATTTTCGAAAATGTCCAAGGGTAAAATAGTCATTTAGGGACATACATGAAATTTTAAGAAAATATTAAGGGTAAAATAGTAATTTAATGATTTCGGGATGAAAAAGGAATAATAGAAAATGTTTAAAAGTATAATTGGAATTTAAAAAATAAAGTAAAGATAAGGAAAAATAATTAAAATATAGAATGAAATTAAAAATTTTAAAGAATCAACATTGTGTTGTGACGTGTGTGGGTCGGACTGAGCCTGATGGTCAGCTGGGTGGTCGAATGATATCGTGAGTGCCGACCACAATGTGCTCACAGATGATAACATTTGAGTTCGGACATAGTTAGGGTAGACTTCCAGAATACGTCTTAGTGTATTGATGATTTGTAATTGATGATAATATGTAATTATTAATTCTATATCTATTTTATTATATCGAATAATTTAATATTTACCCTTATTTTTCTATGTGGATGAGACTACGATGATCACTTTTATGTGGGAGCTGACTAGGAATTGAGAGGTGAAAACACGACTACTAGACAACATGAATAGTTTAGTGAAGTAGTTGTGTAAGAACTATCTTTACATGTATTTATATAAATAAATTATGTTATTATATTTTGAATTTTATTAATAAATCATGATTTTAGTTTATATTATAATTTCAGTTTATATTATATTTTCAGTAATATATAATGTTATTATTTACTTGTTTATTATTTTATAATAATATCATTTAGTGAAGTAGTTGTGTAAGAACTATCTTTACATGTATTTATATAAATAAATTATGTTATTATATTTTGAATTTTATTAATAAATCATGATTTTAGTTTATATTATAATTTCAGTTTATATTATATTTTCAGTAATATATAATGTTATTATTTACTTGTTTATTATTTTATAATAATATCATTATAGTAACAATAACGGTTTACTGGTTTGTTATTCTGTAATTTTTTTCATGTTTGAATGGAAATATTTAGGTGTTTATAAGTTAGTATTTTATGTTTTATTTTTTATTAAAATTAATAATATGATTTTTTCTTTTTTAAAATTTCATTCAGTAATGTATAAATATTTCTATTAAATTTGTGTTATTAAATGTCTAAAGAAATCCAAGAAAAAAAAACCCATCAAAGTAACAAAAAAGATAATAAAGAAAAAATCAGAAAAAGAGGAAAAAGAGAAAGAAAAAGCAAAAGAAGAAAACATTCATTCACCACCACCCTACTATCCTAGAAAAACCAAAAAAATGGATCACCAATTATAGATCACGAGATAACTGTTAACGGAGAGAAATAATATGAAGCAAATTTAATTTATTACCAACATAAATTTTAATACTTTTATATTGATTAATTATTCTGACGTTTCCACGTTTAAGTTACAACTTACAAAAATATCAAATCAAACTAAAAAAAACATATATAAAAATCTCTTTTATATTATGTTATATATAATAATATTATTAATTTACTAATGACTTTTTAAATATATATATATATATATATATAATTCAAATTACAAATAAAGTTTAATCCTTATCCCTAAGGGCATTTTCAACCATAAAATTTGTTTTCCAAAGTTGTTTGTTTGTACTGGTTTTCCTTCTTTTAAGAACAACTTTTTATCTTTATGTTTGAGTTGCTTTTGTTAAAGATATTTAATTATTTTTAAAATAATATAAAATCAATGAAAAACACAATTATGATAATTATAGGGAAATTTATGTCAACGTATTTTTTTCAGTGTCTATCAAACTTTTTCCTTGGATGTTTCGGAGAAAGGGAGGAGAACTTTCTTAGCAAATATTCACTATTAAGTGCAGCGAATCCAACGCACTCATATCTTGTTGAGCAATTTGGTTAAACTTGTTGAATTATTTGGTTAATCGAGTGACAACGTTTAGCAGAGTTTTCTGACTGGCATAACATGGGTCTCTGCTTTTCTTCCTCTTCACTCAAGAACCCTCAGCATTCAGGCAAGTCTTATACTTTTTCCAACCCTTTCTAAATTCATCCCAAAATATCATATGGGTCACTCCCCTTTTCCTCCAATTCCTATTTTCCCATCGCGGGTTCGATTCGGTTCCTCTATTTTCAGCTTCACCAATCACTCACAGCAACGACGGGGAAGGGTTTCTCCCTCTTCCTCCTCCTGATGGCCGGATTCTGAAATGGCCCAACTTGGTGGTGTTCAGTTATGAGGACCTGAAATACGCCACAAGGAATTTCAAGTCTGACACATTGATCGGTGAAGGTGGTTTTGGCAGAGTTTACAAGGGATGGTTGGATGAGAACACCCTCACCCCTACCAAACCAGGCTCCGGAATTGATGTTGCCATCAAAAAGTTCAACAAGGAAGGGCTCCAAGGGTTTCAACAGTGGCAGGTGACTTTAATTCCATCTCTTCCATTTACTTTTCATACACTTTAACTTGACAAATTTAATAAAGACTTTTCTTGACATTTTTGTTACAATTAGATAAACTTGTTCCGTTCTAAAGGACATATATACAAAACATAACTGCGAATTCTTTTGCCAAATTTTACCATTCTATCCTGTTGTCATTTACTTTTATATTGCATTTAATTTAATATTGCAAACTTTCCATGTCATAAATCCTACTTTTGCACAACACCAGTCATTATTTAAAACGATTTTCTGTTGATGGAAAAAAATGCAGTCAGAAATAACCTTTTTCGGAAGGCTTTCTCACCCCAACCTGGTCAACTTATTGGGTTACTGCTGGGACGAAGATGAATTTCTTCTTGTGTACGAGTTCATGCCATACGGAAGTTTAGAGAATCATCTCTTCTCAAGTATTAATTGAGACAATAAAAAAAGTTAATGAAAAGTCCTCCTTGTGAATTTGGGTTTATTCATTCATTTTCTTTGTCATGTTTCTGAGCAGGAGATCCTGACAAAGAACCACTTTCTTGGAGTACCCGGTTAAAAATAGTTATTGGTGCGGCTAGGGGATTAACTTTCTTGCATGCCTCTGAAAATCAAGTCATACACAGAGATGTCAAGTGCTCAAATATACTACTCGACGCGGTCAGTTGTTTTGTCACTTCATTTCTCATGTAGTTTCATAGTGTACCTGTCCCCTAATTTATTTATTTTTTAGGTTGGGCCTATTCATTTTTAAAATCAAAATCCAATAGAATGGATTGGATTTCATTTAATTATATCAAATTTATTTGAATATCTTTTAAATTGGTTTAAAATTAAATTTAAATAAGATTAAATTTGTATCCATTTTATCAAGGTCGAATTGATAAATTCTTAAATTCATTAATTCAAATCCAAATTATAACATTTAATCATCAAGAAACATTAATTTTGTTTTAGCAAAAGATTACAAGAATACGAGGGAGTAAAACCTTGTCTTTCCCCTACTTTATTTTATAACCAATGATATGCTATACATTAAATAGCTTGATCTTTGTAACACGAGAATGATAATAATTATTCTACTTATATACTAGATTTGTGAGATTCATTATTTTTAGTGACATTTTTTATATTAACTTTGATTACGTAATTTTAATTAATGAAAAATATCAATACCAAATTTTTATTATCAATAATAATTTATATTTAAATATTTTTATTTGTATATTATTTATCATTGTTAATAAAAAAAATGTTATATTGTTTAATAAAAACACTTTTATGAATCAGTTTTAAAAAACTATTTTTAAAAATAAGTTAAAAAAAGGTTGTTTGATAATTTTATTTTTTAAAACTATTTTAAGATAAAAATAGGTTGAAAAATGTTTTAAATAATTTTATGAAGAAAAAGATGAATGATTTAATGTAAGTATTAGTAAAAATATTGATACTTATTAATGAGAAAAAAAACATTTTTTAGTAATTTTGGTTTTTTAAATTAAAAAAATAAAATTATTTTAAAAAGTCAACTATTAAACAAGTTTTTTAGTTTTTTTAAAAACTAAATAAAATTGAAAATTGATTTTAAAAATAATAAATAAACAATTCCTAAATTATTAATTTTGAGAGGGGGAGTGATCATTATTTTTACATATTTTTAATATATAAACTCAAATTTAATATTATATACTATAAACTCAAATAATTTAATTTGAATTAATTTAATTGCTTATATTTTTACTAAATAATTCAGACGCTTTTAAAAATTAAATTGTTAATTTCAGAAGAGGGAGTGGTCTATAGAATGTTGATTGAACAATAGGTAGTTTTGATTAGTGTTTAATTAATTTTACTCATAAAGTTTTTGTCGTTATTTATTATGGGACATGTTGAAAACTTGTTTATTTTCTGTGTTTATCCATTTTATATATATATATATATATATATATATATATATATATAAATAGTGACTTTTTGTTTGACGAATTTTTCTTTTTTTCCTTTAATATTATGTTTTGATAGACAAAAAATAATTTATTTGATGAATAAGGTAGATGGGTGATTTTAGATTTGTTTGCCTATTTAAACTTACTAACTTATTTGTAGATATTTCTATAACACAAGCCGCCGAGTAGACAAGTTTCAGGTTTTAAACTTTTTAATTAGAGGTTTGTAATAGATAAATAAGTTAGAGTCATGCTTAGTAACAATGATATAAAGTAGGTTCAAAGTTTAAGTTTAGTCTAACATAATCTATCGAACTATTGCTGCTTTGGTTTGGAAATGGAGATGTTTATTTTAATTTTATTTTATTTGCTACAGAATTACGATGCAAAACTATCAGATTTTGGGTTGGCGAGATCAGGACCTTCAGACGGAAAAAATCATGTAAGTAGCAGGGTGATGAGCTTGGGGCCTTCTGAAGGAAATACTCACGTAACTACCACCATAATGGGCACATATGCTTATGTTGCTCCTGGATATAAGGTAACAGGTAATAAGATTGACAATTAAAGTGGCTTTAAATGTATGTGTTGAGTATATTATTCACTCACTATCTCTGAAAGTAGGAGACAAAATGAAATGAAGGTGACACATGAATTATATTTGAACAGGCCACTTGTATTTGAAGAGTGATGTGTATGGATTTGGTGTAGTGCTTCTTGAAATACTGACAGGCATGCGGGCACTTGACCCAGAACGACCTTCAGGACAGCAGATCCTGGTTGAATGGACTAAGCCTTGTCTCTCTTCCAAGAAAAAGTTGAAAACAATTATGGATGGGAGGATAGAGGGTCAATATTCACCCAAGGCTGCATTTGAAGCAGCACAACTTACTCTAAAATGCTTAGGCCATGACCCTAACCAGCGTCCTTCAATGAAGGAAGTACTTGAGGGATTGGAAGCCATTCAACTTGTCCAAACCCCCCAACTCTCACCATCCCCTTTCTCATAGTTCTTAGACTACAAACTCTTCTTCAATATACATACCAATATGTGCTCCATTCAATATGTTTTGGTTTTTGTTTCTTTTATATTCTTCTGCTGCTTGGAGGAGTTGAATTATTTTCACACTTTTATATTTCAAATAATTATTTTAATTATCTTCATCTTCAACCGTAATCTAGTCAACCCATCAGAGGAGATTATGATATATGTATATGTTACAATTTAAAAAGATTGGAACCTCGTTATTCAATATGATTCATAATTCATCAATAAATTAATTATAATCCTATTTATAAACTAAACTGAAGTTATTATATGTTAATTTTTTTCACGGAGACACTAATTTCATTAACTTTTAACCACTTTAGTATACCAGAATCAGAATCGCGTCGATGAAATATTTTACTTTTATAATATTTTAGGAAGTTGATATTAAAATAATAAAATAATTTTTCCATTTCAAAGTTGATTAACTTATATTCATTTTTTAATATGTTTTACTATAGTTTACGGTTGGATTTATTAAGACTATGTTTTTTTTTTCATATGCTTTGCAATAGTAGATAGTTTTTAGTAAACAATATTTATAGTTTACAGTTCGTATTATGCGTTATTTATTTACAGTTTTTGACTTATATAAAATGAAATAAATAATAGCTTTAAACTGATTACTATTAAATTGTTAAATTTTAGTTTAAATAAAATAAACATTCATTTATATTTGGTTCCTATTGTTATGTTTATTCTATTAAATATTCTAATATTTAATTTTGATCTTATTTTTATTTCTCTATTTTTTTATTATAACAATCAATATACCATCCCTATAAATAACGTTACATACTTAATATATTTTTTTCAAAATTTACTAAGTATTTAATTTAAAGGATAAAATTATTACGTAGTCATATATGTTAAAGAATTGAAACCTATTTAAGTTTTTAATAAATGTAAAATATTTGCTCACATCGATAAAAAAACAACAACAATACATTAAATTAGCTTCTAAATTTTCACTTTGTCTTAACATTGTGGCTACACCAACTCTAAACTTAAGCTACAATTTAAAAAAGAAAAAAAAAGGTGAAGAACTGAAATATACTTAATTATTGTCACACTAGTATAGTAACTCATACTTGTAAAAATTAAATATATTTTGTTATTAGAGTTTATTTAATAATTCAAAGTGCACCAGCATTACAAAATTCATGGAATGGTAAAATAATGCTCTAAATGCTAGGATCATTTTTTTTTTAAAGAAGTTGACAATTTTACTGGGAAAATATAATAGGCATATTAAAGAAGAAGAGAAACCAGGGGTGATAAAATTTGTTTTCCAACGATGTTTATACTGGGTATGTTTACTTTTAAGAATAACTTTTTATTTTAATTGATGTATGAGTTGCTTTTTCTGTCAATATATATATATTTTTTAAAAATTGATAGTCCACTATTAATAAATATTTATTTAATAATTTTATTTATTAATAAAATAATTTATTTTATAAATAATAAAGTTACATTAATTTTATTTTAAATAAATTATTTTATAAATATAATATTAATAAATAAGGTTATATAAGGAATATTATTATGTTCACTATTTTTTTTGAAATGGAATATTATTATATAAGGAATATCACATGCATCATTCCTCTTTTCCTCCAATTCCTATTTTCCCATGACGGGTTCGTTTCGGTTCCTCTGTTTTCAGCCTCTCCAAGCAATCACAGCAACGACGGGGAGGTGTTTCTCCCTATACCTGCTCCTGTTGCCCGGATTCTGATGACCTGAAATACGTCACAAGGAATTTCATGTCTGACGCATTGATCGATCAAGGCGGTTTTGGCAGAGTTTACGAGGGATGGTTGGATGAGAACACCCTCACCCCTACCGAACCAGGCTCCGGAATTGTTGCTGCCATCAAAATGTTCAACAAGGAAGGCTTGCAAGGGTTTCTAATAGTGGTAGGTAACTTTTATTCCATTTACTTAAGTATGAATTGAAGACAATTAAAACAAGATAAATAAAACTCTTTGTCATGGATTTGAGTTTATTCATTCATTTTCTGTCATATTTATGATCAGGAAATCCTTACAAAGAACCACTTTCTTGGAACACCCGGTTAAAAATAGCCATTGATGCAGCCCGGGGATTAGCTTTCTTGCATGCTTCTGAAAAGCAAGTCATACACAAAGATTTCAAGCCCTCAAATATACTACTCGATGGGGTCAGTTAGTTTGGTAGTTAATTTCTTACGTCGTTCCATACATTACCTTTTCCCTTATTTATTTTTCTTTTTAAGGTTATTGCATAGGTATTTTCGAGTGGTTAATAAAAAAATATTCTTATAAATAAGATACAATTTAATTATATAAAAAGATATGAAACTATTTTTGATAAATAATATAAAATATGAAAACTTAAATTTATAAATATCTAAATAAATATATCTAATAATCACAATATTGTTTGCATGTAGTTTATCTTCAACCAAAAATCTAAATACATTTTTACTTTTATTCTACTTGAAACTAGCAATTGAATTCTTAACACAACTTATTTATTTTTAAATTTAAATTCAATAAAATCTATTTTAATTTTTTTAAAATAGGTTTAAAATTAAATTTAAATAAAATTAAATGTGTATCAATTTAAATAAAATTAAATGTGTATCAATTTAAATAAAATTAAATGTGTATCAATTTCAATAAAATTAAATTTGTATCAATTTAATTAAAAATAAATTCACAAAATTCTTAAATTCAATATTGGAATCGAAATAACGACACACGAAGCATTTATTTTCATTATGCATAACTATTTATAATTAAATATTTTTTTATTAGTACATTATAAAATAATAATTGTTATATGATTTTATTGAATTATTAAGATATTCTAAAGATTAAGGCTCCCTTTAAAAGAAATTTGTAATGACTGGTTAAAGGAAATGAGGGAAAAGAAAATATTTACAGGGAAAATAATAATAATAAATTATTTTTATTGTAATTACGTGTTAATGATGGTAAGATTGAATCAGTCTTTTGATAAAATGTAAAAAAAAAAAAATGAATATCTTCTTCTCTAGGTAAATGTGTTTGCCACAAATGTCCTTCATTTCTTCTTGTGAAGGCTTGAGCTGGCAAAAATTGTGTACCATGAGAGCTGATAGCTTACTCTAATGGTTTTGTATCAATTCTATACATGGAAGAAATATGGTTACTAATTCTTCCAATAAAGATGATATCTAAGTGTAGATTTTCGCCTATGACTCTATCAGAAGCCTCTTGCCTAATGTTGTGTATTGGTTGTCACTAAAGACAACGTTTTGTGGTGATACTCTAGGTGGGAAAATTCAAATGAATAATTTAATATATATTTCTTATTTGTCTGTAATATGATTTTTAGTTGTAATTTAAATATTTTTTTAAATAATTTATAATAAAAATTATTTTATAATTATATACTAAAATATATATTATTAAAAAGTAAGATATTAATTTAAAGATATTACTTTAAATAGTTAATAATTATATGGATAATTTTATGATTAAATAAATATTTCCTTTTTATTTATTTTAAATGAGATTTTTTTATTCTCTTGCCAATTTTCTTTTTAATAAAAATACTTTTCATCCTATTGCATCTCTATTTCATTTATTTCTTTCTTTTTTCTTTTTTCTTTTTTTATACTTTCTTTTATTGATATGGAGCAAGAGTTTATTTGATTTGATTTTATATTTTAGTTTATAAAAACCGTCTTATAAATTAATTTTAAAAATAAGTTGGAAAAAAAACTTTGATAATCTTATTTTTTTTAAAACTATTTTAAGATAAAATTGAACTACATAAATGACTTCAAAAATTTGGAAAATATTTTTAATAACTCTATAAAGATTGTAACTATTAATAAAAGCGTTGATACTTATTAACGAGAATAAAAAATATTTGTTACCAGTTCATTTTAAAATTTTAAAAACTAAAAAAAAAAAGTTTTTAAAATTTATTTTAATAAATCAGTTATCTAACAAGTTTTTTAGTTTTAGTAAAACAAAAAACGGTAAATTATTTTTAAAAATAATAAACAATAAAGTTTTAATTTGAGAGAGGGAGTGATTATCTACAGTATTGGAACCCTACTCATACAGCAGCTCCAGGGGCAGTCTCCTTTCACTCTCTCCCCAGCTCTCACTCACGCTCGCTCCCCCCTCCCTCTATCCCCAGCTCTCACTCACACTCACCCCCCAACTCTCTCCATCTCCCAATCACCATTTCTAGCCTCCCATTTGCGCCCCATCTCTTTCACTTGAACCATAACCACTCATCTCCGGTCGCCTGCCAAAATCCGGAGTCACCGCGACCTCGACCTCCACCGCCACCTCACCTTAGCCACTCATCGGCAGTCCTAGCCTCTTTACAAACGCTCACTCACATCACCGCCTCCTTTGGCCACCACCGTGCCATCCCAGCTAAACCTTGCATTACCACCATCAACCTCCATCCCGACCACCGTGGAATCACCATCGCAGCCTCCATCACCACCAAGCATCCCGAATCACACCTTGCCATCGAGCCACACCCACCGCTCACCGTGCGCCACCCTTGTGGCTGTTTTCTCTGCATCTCGCTCTCTTCCGTGGTTTCCACCGCGCCACGCCCCTATATAGAGCCACCGTGACCCACCACGCCTTCGGCCGTCCAACCTCCATCCGACAGAGTCGCGGCCCAAACCGCCCGCACCACCACCCGCTTTATCCCCCATCTTCCCTCCATCTCACTCTCCTCCGTGGTCACCACCGCACCACCCCGTCTTCATCCTCTCCTCCCTATTCTCACCACCGCAAACGCCCAACCCTTCTCCTTGGTTACCATGTTAGTAATTTTGGGTTTATATATATATATATTTCATAATTAAATGTGTTACTATCATTATTTTATTAGCTAAAACATGAGAGTGATGTAATGAATATAAAGTTAAGTTTACGACTAAGTTTAAGGTATTATAATTTGATGAATATAAAGTTTATGAATAAGGGTATTTACGTGATGAAAGGTTAATTGTATAGATATTATGAGTGATATTATAATTTGATCAAGGGTGAAATTATAAGTATTAAATTTGGGATAATTAATAGAAGTTACCAATATAAGGATTCATGTTCTTCAAGGAAGTTCAGGCGTTATTCTTTTTTATAGAAATTTCTTCGTTTCGTGCATCATGACAATACAAAACCAAGAAAATCTATTTACTCGCACTGAATTTGTGATACACAATCAAGATTCAAAATCAAATGAGAGAATTATTTAATAAAATTTGTGGTACCATTAATGTCTGTTTTATCCCATAAATGACTTTTGTTAGTTTACAAACCATATCTCCTTACACAATGAAACTCCAAATCATAATGTGCAACAAGAGTAATGATTGTCCTAAAAGAGTCTTTTAGAGAGAAAGTCTCTTTAAAGTCAATCCCTTAGTCCTTAACTACAAGACAAGCCTTATGTCTCTCCACATTACCTTTGGAATTCCATTTGGTCTTAAATATCCATTTGCAACTAATGGGTTTTACACCTTCTAGTAATGGAACAAGTTCCCAAACCTTGTTGTCTTGCATGGACTTATATTCTTCCTTCATTGCTTCAATCCACTTTTCAGAGTTAGAACCTTGCATGACTTGACGGAAGTTAATTGGGTCATCTTTCATCATATTATTGTTTTCCTCATGTTCATGAAAAAATACTATGTAATCATCCGAAATAGCACTTATTTTTTCTCTAGTGGATGTTCGCAAATGTATTGACTCATGATGCATAGATTCTTGAGGATCTTGAGTTTATTCTTCATGAACAACCAAATCATCTTGAGTAAGAGGTTCAATAACATTGTCTTGTAGAGGTTCCAAATTTACTTTATTAAAAGTAACTGTTTGAATCAATTCTGGAATTGTTACCGATTCTTCCTCTAAGACAAAGTTCCTAACCTTATTCTTCCCCCAAACTCAATATCCTCAAAGAAGACAAAGTTTCTGATCTTATTCTTCCCCCAAACTCAATATCCTCAAAGAATGTGACAGTTCTCGTTTCAAAAATTATATTTAATGTGAGATCATAAAATTTATAGCCCTTAGATCTTTTGGAATAATCAATAAAGTAGCTGCTCACTGTTCGGGAGTCCAATTTTTTTTCATTTGGGCTATAAGGCCTTGCCTCAGCAGGACATCCCCACACATGAAAATGTTTCAGACTAGGCTTCCATCCCGTCCAAAGCTCATAAGGTGTTTTGACAACTGCCTTAGTTGACACTCTATTTAGAATGTAAGATGCGGTCTTTAGTGCCTCTCCCCAGAGTGACTAGCAAAATAGAATGACAAATCATGCTCCTTATCATATTCTTAAGAGTCCGGTTTCGTCTTTCAGCCACACCATTCATGTTAGGCAACCCAAACATGGTGTACTGTGGGACGATTCCACATTCCTCTAGGTACTTGGCAAAAGGTTCTGGACCTTGTTCACCTGAACCTTCATTTCTGTCATAGTATTCACCACCACGGTCAGATTTGACACTCTTGATTCTTTTGTTAAGTTGATTTTGAACTTCAACTTTAAATATTTTGCACACGTCCAGAGATTGTGACTTTTCATGTATAAGAAATAGGTATGAAAATCTAGAGTAATCGTCTATAAATGATATAAAATAGTGTTGACCATATCAAGAATGTGTAGAAAATGATCCACAAATGTCCGTATGTATCAACTCTAAGACGTTTGTAACTCTATGTGCACCTAATTTCTTTGTTTTGGTTTGTTTACCTTTAACGCATTCAATACAAACATCAAAGTTCATGAAGTCAATATAATGCAAGATCCCATTTGACACAAGTCGTTCAACCCTATTTTAAGATATATGACCTAAGCACTTGTGCCATAATGCTCCTGAGTTAATATTGTCAATTTTACACTTAGTACTCAGTGATTCTGTATTTAAGGATTCACTATAGGTAGATATAATATCAAACAAATATAGATTATCATAAGCCAAAAGTGAACTAGTTCCAACAATATCTGAATTAAAAGACAAACTGGACATATTGTTTCCAAATGAACACAAATAACCTAACTTGTCCAAATAAGAAACTGAAACCAAATTTCGTCTAAATGAAGACATAACAAAAGTGTCTTTCAAATCCAAATAAAAACCAGTACATAACAATAATCTAAAATGCCCTATAACTTCCACCTCTACCGATTTGTCATCTCCAACATTATATCCATCTTTCAGAATCAATTGGCTTCTGGTAGCTTAGGCAACCCTACATTGAAACACTAATGTTAGTAGTAACACCTGAATCTAACCACCAAGTGTTTCTAGGTATTGAAGCTAAATTGACCTACATTACAAGAAAATCGCGTATTACCGACGGATTTGTATCCGTCGGAAAATAATTATTACCGACGAAAATTACCGACAGATATAAAATATTTGTGGAATTTGATCTTATCGACGGATATATCCGTCGGTAAAATAATAATTAGTTACCGACGGATATATCCGTCGATAAATCCGTCGGCAATTGACAGATGAATTTACCGACGGATATATCCGTCGGTAAATCTGTCGATAAATTAATATTTAATTACAGACGGATATATCCGTCGGTAAATTCATCTGTAAATTACCGACGGATATTTCAGTCGGTAAATTATCAATTAGTAAATATTCAACTAATTAAAAAATTAAATATTTTTTATTTAATAATTTCATTTAATCATAATTAGATTAATTTATAATAATTTCTTAAATTAAATAATTTTAAAAAATAAATATTTAATTATATATAATTATAAAAAAAAATATAAATATATAAATATATATATAAATATATAAATATATAAATATATTTGTATATAAATATATTAATATATTTGTATATAAATATAATTTATTTGTAAATTATTATCGAAAAATTTTGGTAGCTTAGTGGTTGGAGTATCTGCACTCTTACTCTAAGGTACTGGGTTCGAATCCTGCCAATTGAAGCCTATAAAAATGTAATAGGGAAAAATAATTAAAAATAAATAATCTATATAAGTAAAATATTTAATAAATAATAAAAATATTACAGACTGATTCTCGTCCGTCGGTAATTTCATCAAACATTTAGCGACGGATATATCCGTCGGTAATTACCGACGGACTATTAAATCCGTCAGTAATATTTACCGACAACCAAATTTTCGACGGATTTTTGGCTGTCGAAAATCCGTCGGTAAATGGATATTACCGACGGATTTTTATTATTACCGACGGATTTTGACCGTCGGTAATATCAAAATTTCTTGTAGTGCTAAGAACAGATCAAAGTAAGAAATATACCTTTCCTTGCACGCCAAACATGATATTTGGTACATTTTTTCTTTACATGTCCAGACTTATTGCAAAACAAACAGGTGTCACCCTGACTTTATGTCTTTTGTGTTGGATCCTTAGTAGCTTCATTCTTGAGCTCCTCAATCCTATTTCTTTTGCCTTTATCTTTGGAGGTGCTTACAATATGAACACCTTCTGTCCTTTCTTGCTTCAGTCTTTCCTCTTATTGCACACAGTATGAAATGAGCTCATTTAGAAACCATTTCTCCTTTTGACAGTTATAAGATATCTTAAACTGACTGAACTGTGAGGAAAGAGAAATCAACACTAAATAAATGAATGAGCAAGTCTTCCGACAGTTCAAGCTTTAGTGCCCTTAGTTTTGAAGCAATATTGGACATGCCCATAATGTATTCCCTAATATTTCCTTTGTCCTCATACTTTATGGAAATCAAATTCTAAAGAAGAGTACTTATTTTTGCCTTATCGCTTTTTGCAAAGCGCTTCTCAATTCTTGGGCACTTGTTACCTTTTCAGAAACAGTACCCCTAAACATCTCAGGAATGACGCGCTTAATGATCATAAGAATCATGCGATTTGAGCGATCCCACTTCTCATAATCTTTCATCTGTTCAGAGGTACTAGAATCCGTAGCGCTTAATAATCATAAGACTCATGCGATTTGAGCGATCCTACTTCTCATAATCTTTTCTCTGTTCAGAGGTACTAGAATCCATAGGAGAAGGGAGTTTCTCAATCCTTAATGCAAGGTCCAGATCCATGCAACTAATAACCATTTCAATGTTCTCTTTCCAATCCTTAAAATTAGTGTCATTAAGAATTAGAACTGAATTTAGATTAGCAGATATTGAAGCAATAGTAGCTGAAAGGAGAATAAAACAAATAGTACAATTATGTTCACACAAAAATAAAATAAAAAATTAATCAAAATGAAATAAAAATTAATCAATATGTTAAAATAATAGCATCACCCATCGCAAGATACATAGTGCACCATCAATATCAAGTCTTTAGACAGTAATATTAATTGCTAGTGATATCCTTATTGTAATGATCAAACATTGATAATAAAACATGTCAAATAATAGACCCCTCTTTAGATTGATTTATCATTCACATGCAAAACCTCGTAATTATCACATGTTTATAATCACAAGTGTGTATACAAATCAGCCAAGTGTTAATCTTCCTTTAGGTCAATTAACAATCGCATATATAAACATACACACAAACATTTAACATTTTATATGAACTATCTACACAAGGAAGGTCACTTTGGTGATTTCTTGATTCAATTAATTCATTTAAAAGGTTAAACAATAACCAAAATTTGATCATTTATACACCAAATTCAAAATTGAATAAACATACAA